GCAGAGCTGGCATTCAGATCCAGGCATGGAGGCTGAAGCGGTTCCTGAGGCCACTGGCTGTCCAGCCTTTTTTTTTTTAAACATAATTCTTTTTTTAATTTTATTTATTTTTCTCCCAAAGCCCCAGTAGATAGTTGTATGTCATAGCTGCACATCCTTCTAGTTGCTGTATGTGGGACGCGGCCTCAGCATGGCCGGAGGAGCGGTGTGTCGGTGCACACCCGGGATCTGAACCCGGGCCACCAGTAGCGGGGCGCGAGCACTCAACCGCTAAGCCGCCGGGCCGGCCCAGGCAAGAACATCTCTGTACTTGGTCTGTTCACACTGTTATAGGCACAAGAAAGCATAAGCTTTGTTTTTACATTTACCAAAAACACTCATACTTCAGCACAACCTTCCCCCACTTGACATGAGGTACACAGAAGTCTGGCTGCAGGTCTCACGACCCCTCAGGGGGCAGTGTGACCAGGAACACCCCACGCGCGTCGTTAATCCTTCTCTGCTGAAGAGCAGGGGACGGGTCAGTCCCAACTCGGGCGGGAACCATTCTAGCTTAGACGGCAGCAAAGGGAGGGCCATGAAAAAGTCAGTGGAACCTCTACATACTAACAACAAACCACTGAAATAAAACCACCCAAGAGTCTCATTTACAATAGCACCAGAAATAAAAGGAGAAACACTTCGATGTAAGTCTAAGGAAAGAGCCACAGGATCTGCAGGTTGAGTGAAATCAAGGACCAGACGAGTGGAGAGTGAGACCACGGGCACCAAGTTCATGGGCCGGAGGACTCAGTGTTGTGAAGAGGTCAGTCCTTCCCAAATTGAGCTTCAAGTTCAATGCAATTCCTAGTAATGTTCCAGGAAAAATACTTACGTTGATAATGACAAGCTGGTTCTAAAATTTATGGGGAAAAAAGAAAACGGAAGAACCAGAACAAATCTGAAATGAAATTGGAGTCGTCACACTCTGATTTGAAGGCTCACCTGAGACTCACACTAATCACGACAGTGTGTTATTGGTGAACAGACACTCACGTGGATTCATGCAACAGAAGAAAAAATCCAGAAACAGACCTACACAAACAGTATCAATTGCTTTTTAACAAAGTTACAAAGGAAATTCAATGCAGACAGAATAGTCTTTCCAACAAAGAACGGCCAAAATAAAAAATACCAAAAATACGAAGTGCTGGCAAGAGTGTGGAGCAGCAGGAACCCACACCCATTGCTGGCGGGAACGTGAAATGGGGCAGCCGCTGTGAAGAGTCCGCACAAGTCAGGCACACAGCCACCGCATGCCCCAGCAACCTCACTCCTGGGCGTCTACCCAAGAGAAACGCAAGCTCACGTTCACACGAAACCCTTGTGTGAAGGCTTACAATGCTGGCTTTCCACATCCCAACGTCCCTGAGGAGCGGATAAAACACTAGTACACAGCACAACGAAAGGCTCCTCGGCAATCAAGAAGGAACTGCTGACACGCCCAGAATCTCGGAAGCGTCTCAGATGCGTTATGACAGGTGAAAGCAGCTGGACTCAGAAGGCTCCACACTGTGCGGTCTCATCTGCACAACAGCCCGGGGGGCGAACGACAGGGACAGAGGACAGAGCACTGGGAGGGCACTCCAAGGGGACGGACTGTTCCCAGGCCTGCCTGGGCGGGCACACGAGTCTCCGCGCTTGTCTGCGCTCACAGAACGGTAGGCCGATAAGAGTGAACTGCCCCGTAAGTTAAACCCAATCATTTAGAAATACCAAGTTAAAAAGGGAAAGCGCGAAGGGGTAGCCCTCTCTCTGGAGTCAGACTCTCAGCTCTGCCATGAGGTACTAGCCCCAGACCCTGAGCAGGCCTCGGGTGCCTCACCTGTGAAATGGAGCTGATGCACAGCCAGGTTCCTGAGACGCCCAGGGAACCTCAGCCAGGTCTGACAGAGGCAACAAGACCCACAAGTTTCGGACAACAAAGGCCTCTGTTACGCAAATTTACAGTTTCTTTAGAAGAGAATGAATATAGTTGACGTGTCCGCAGAGACTGACAAGGGTGGGGCGAACCCACAGAGCATTACTAACATCTGGAGAAGCGTAAAACATAAGGGAAAACGGTTGGGAAATTTTTTAAAAAGAAGCTAGACCCCAGAGAATTAACTTCCAACTGTCTGCCCCAACAGAGTTAAGCAAGTCCCCAGGTTCTTGGCCTTTGTCTTCGAAAACATGTTTTTGTAATTTAATCCTAATGTAGATGGTGCTAATATCCGAACCCACTAAGAAGGAGACGAGAACCAGCAAAAGGCCGTGAAGCGTTTTCCCTTGCAAGGTCCCTTCACCAGGCTGGGAAATGAACAGGAACGAGGAGCCAGGCCAGGGTAGGACCGAGTCTGCTGAACTAGGTTCCTCAGCTTGAGGAGAAAGAACAAGCTGTCTTCAAGGTTCCTGGTGGATATTTGCTTCGGACATAGAAAAAGAAGAAAATATTCATTGGAAGCACAAATAGTGTAATCAGTACATTACAGCTGTCATCTGAAGACACACTGATGCCGAGACTTGCAGACAACTGTGTCACTGGAGACATTAATACGGGACAGACGAAAGTCCTCCCCAAAAAGAGAAAAGACACAGTAGAACCAAAAAAGCAAGAGACAGTTAAAGAGCAGGACCAAGGGTGACTTCAAGGTGTGCTCGCTGAAATGCAAGGATGGGTTTCCAACATTGAGGTCCCTGGCTCTTAAAGTCCACACTGTGGGTCCAGCATCCCTTACCACATCACTGCTTCCCTGGCGGGTCACAGACCTGACTACACTGCAGTCAGCCTAGAACGTCTGGCAGGAAAAACCCAGATTCCCCTTTCTGGAGTACCTCGTCCACTCCCATTTAGGGCTGTCGCTCTCTTAGAGCGCTGTCAGTGCCAACAGGCCCCCTGAACGTCACGTGGAAACATGCCAAGCTCCAGCGGTGACACCTGGGTCACAGAGCCGTGGGAGCCACATGCCTCTCCCGGATTACCTGAGTCCCCATGTCCTGAGAGAACATGAGGCCACTCTTCCCCTGGACACTGAATCCCATCCCCCAGGCCGAAGACTTTCCAGGAATCAAAGATATTTGCTCCCTGTTACGCCAATTACACTTGCAACTGCAATCACACATCTTAATGGAACATTACCTGAGTCAAAGAAATACTACGGCAAAAAATAATTATTTCAATAAAAACCAAGTTAAATTTTTAGAACAGTTGATAGAGACAGGTGCTCAAAAAAAGCAACAACAAACAAAACCTGTGAATCAGGCGCAGAGAACTGCCAAGTTGGGGAGCACAAAATCTGGGAGGATGCTGCATTCAGATTGCTTTTATTCCTGCTCTACTTGGAAAAACCACAATACTGGAAAATAGAGACAATGCGCTGACCGTGGTTCCGGCAGGAAAGATACAGAATTTAAATCCATGGACCTGCCCTATTCGGAGAAAAGGAGATGACAGGACAGAACCACACAACAAATCAAAGATGGGAGAGCAAAGGTGCATCTGAGTTTATGTAAAAACAGAGCGTTTACACACAGACGCACATCTTGTAGTGACTCTGTTTTAAATGACCTCTGGGTCAGCAGTCCAGAGCTAGCCATGCTGGACACGAGGCCTTCTCCTGCAGTAAGAGCAAACTGCAGGCCCGTGGGTGCAGCTGCTGCATTTGTATACGTGTGTGTGCATGTGTGTGTGCACCCTGCTCCTGGGGGAGACGTCAGCAGAGTCACCTGTGGGCACCTCTGTGGGAGACTGCGGCCTGGGGCGGGAGAGAAACTCAGTGTCACTTACGTCTTCCAGTATGATTCAGATGTTTTACCACGTGCATAAGTTATGTTTATCCTCATATACTGCTATGTAACTTTTGGAAATAATCAGACCCAGTCAACTTGTAAAAATAAGTCAAAAGGAAAAACTAAAGGCAGATGTGCTGCTGGAGACATGTTAACACAGAGGTGACGCAGGGAGGGACATCAGCACAGGATTCCTGGGGGTACACTGGATACTGGCTCCGGGGGGCTGCAAAGCAGCACAGGACACCCTCTGAGGTCCTTGCAGCTAGTTTTATGAAATGCTAGTTTACCCGTCTTGTTACTAACACTTCTCATTGTACAGCCTTGAGGAGGGAGCTCGGTCAAGGGAGAGGCCCGCGTCAGGGTCCAGCGTCGAGGGACAGCCTCCTTCGGCTCTGACCCCCGTCAGACGGCCAGTTTCAGATGGGCCAGCCTCCACCCAGCCCTCTCCTTCAATCCAACTATTTCCCAGGCATCTACTGTGCCGGGGGCTGTCTGGTCCCTACTCACTCGCTCCTTTAAAGGCAAAAATTGATCTCGTCAGCCCCTTGCTTAAAAACCCTTTCCTTGGGGGCTTCTCTCATCCTGGTCGCAAGATGCAGCCCACCTGTGTCCTGGGGCAGGGTCCCTGCTCCGTCTCCGGCCTGGCTCTCCACGGCCCTCATACTCCGCTCACACAGTTCCATCTCCTGCAGCTGACCCCTGGCCTCACCCCTCACCGTTGTTCATATCTTATTTCAGGAAGCCTCCCCATACGCCCCTATGCCTCATGGATCTGAGTCCCTCAGCTCCCGGCACACGCCTACCAACGCCCTCACCACCTGCCCAGAGGCACTGGCCATCTGTCCGTCTGTCTCTGCAGGGTGGGGAACACTGCAGGCAAACACTTCATTCATTCACTTGACAAACACGAGGCAATCACCCTGGCCAATCCCTGCCAGCAGGGAGGGATCCTGGATGCCAGCAGGGGAAACGGAGGATAAAATAATCAGATCCGCAGTGCAGTGGACCTAGAGGAGGAGCAAATCAGCAGGAGGGTAGGAAGGGTGTGGACCTGTGTGTGGTGTGACAGGAGGGAGGTGCATTCCAGCCTCAGGGGGTGGCATCGAGTCAAGACTGGGCGAGGGAGGTGGGGCTGGGACAGAGAGGAGAGGGTCCGGGCAGGACTCTGGTTTTCACTCTGGGGACTCAGGGAGGGCTTTGTCACAGGAGGGACAAGCAGAGACCCCGGCCCAGCTCACCTGAGGAGCAGGAAGTCAGTTTCTCTGGAAAGGGGGCCTCGGTCCCCATTGCTACCTGGCAAGCAGGCCCCATCTCAAAGGGAAGAAAGGACGCCCTGCACCTTCACAGGGAGAGTTCCAGCTGAACTCAAAGCTTCGAGCCTCAGCTGTGCACCTGCACAGGCGAGCACTCGCCTGGTAACCTCCGGCCCCTGGCACTGCCCCAAAGATACCGGGGCCAGGCTCAGGGCAGCCCCCGGGGGGAAGGGCCTAAGGACTGGAACTCTCCTCCCTGAGCTTCTCTCCGTGTTTGCCGAGGGCGGGGTGGATCAAGCTCTGAGCTCACCTGTCATACTTGTCTGCACCCGGCTACTTCCCTTTAGAAGTTTAGACCATTTGATTGCTCTTCGAGTCAGGATCACCAGATAGGTGGAAAAAAATTCTTCATAAGCTGCATAATCAAAGTCTTCAGGCCTTTCAAACCCGTAGGGATCAAGCCTACAACAGAGAAGAAAAGCCCCAGAATAAAGTTCCACGGAGCAGCACGACCTGTGGCACAGAGGGCCCGGCCTGCAGGTCCTGCTTGGGTCCTGCCCTGTCCCCAGCCCTGCTCTGCCCCCGGCCCTGCCCCCAGGTCCCCTGCCCTGCTCTGCCCCCTGCCCTGCCCTGTCCCCAGCCCTGCTCTGCCCCGGGGCCCTGCCCCCAGGTCCTCTGCCCTGCTCTGCCCCCTGCCCTGCTCTGCCCCCGGCCCTGCCCCCAGGTACCCTGCTCTGCTCTGCCCCCTGCCCTGCCCCCAAGTTCCCCGCCCCGCTCTGCCCTCTGCCCTGCCCTATCCCGCGGCCCTGCCCTGTCCCCGGCCCTGCTCTATCCCCGGGTCTTGCCCCCGGGTCCCCCAGCCTGCCCTGTCCCCCGGCCCTGCTCTGTCCCCGGCCCTGCTCTGCCCCCAGGTCATGCCCTCGAGTTCCCCTGCCCCCCTCTGTCCCCAGCCCTGCTCTGTCCCCCGGGTCCCCGCGGGGAGGAGGCCGTGAACCCGCGTGGGGGCTGCGGCCTGTCGGGAACCGTGACCGACCCCGCGGGGAGCGCGCCCAGTCCCTCCCTGGGCGCAGAAGGG